ACTTCACTTTCTTTTTAAGCTCACACTTAAACATGTTAAAGTGAGCTGGGCAGTGGTGGCTCACGCCTTTAATCCCAGCACTTGGGAGGCAGATTTCTGAGTTTGAGGCCAGTCTGGTCTACAGAGTAAGTTCCAGGACAGCCAAGGCTATATAGAGAAACCCTGTCACAAACAAACAAACAAACAAACAAACAAACACATGTTAAAGTGCTCACCAGGAGTGAGGGGCATGAGGGTGTGGGAGGGGATGAGATTTAGAGCAGGAGCCAGAAGAATTACTTGAGAGAAGACTGGAAACACCCTTCAGTAGTACAGAAAGCTGAAAATCTGGCTCTAGCTCTAGGCATGACATAGCCAAGACCTTCCCATGAGCCGTGCTTAGCCTAAGCAGGAAACTTGAATCCTTTGAGCAGCTCAGCACGCTAGGTAGATATCACTCCATTCACTCTGGAAACTCACAGGAAAAGGAAGCAGAGGTTCTCTTTGTCATTGACTGTACTGATTCACTACAGTGAAAAAGAACAAGTTTCCAAAGCAACCCAGTCGCAGAGCTAAGACAAGTGATCTCAGCATTCCATTTACTGAGCATGCTTTCTTTCCAAATTGGGAAACAGTACAGAAAAGTAGGACTCTGGTAAAATAATGGCTTCTGTGGACTGAGGGCTTACTATGGGTGGAATGCTGTTCTAGTACTTTACCTGCAATAATTCACCTGACCCTCACGTCTTAAAGGCTAGGAAACCAAAGAAGCTAAGTACATATCTGAGGTCATACTACAAAACCAGGTTTCATTTATTTTACTTATTTATTTAGAGGCAAGTCTCACTTTGTAGTCCAGGCTGATCCTGTAAGCTTCAAGCTTCAGCCAGCTGAGTGCTTGACTTACATGTGTGAACCACCACTCACAGTTCCCAACTAAATATTAATGTCAGGGTATCCAACTCCAATGCCAGTGCTGCCTCCCCACACACCTCTGGTACTAGGGACTGAACTCAAGGCCTTGTGCATGCAAGGCAAATGATCTACCACTGAGCTACCCCAGACCCCAAATCCATACTTTTAATTATTCTGCCCCACTCTTTCTCTGAACAAACTAAGAATCAGAAGATAAGGAGTCTCTGCCGTGAATTAATTTGGTTAATTTGAACTTCCACTTAGGTGTCTGAATATCATTTTGATTATTAATAAAAATGAAAGTTAGAATGCTTATAAGGCTTTTCAAAAGATTATGCAATGCTGGAATGAAGAATCAATCTATAAACACTATTCTTTAGGTCAATCACAGGACCTAATATCACCATTGCCTCCTCTAACCCCAACCTAACAGGCTGTTTCTGAGACCCTCAGATCCCAGAACCTGAGCAGCAGCAATGAATGGTTTGCAGTCTGTCTGATGCTGAGCTGATTCCCATCTCATCAGTTTTAGTGTCTCCTGGCCATGTTTCCATGATGACCATTATGTACACCTTGGTCTATTCCTGAACATCCTAAATACTCTGACTCTGGGGACAGAAGAAGCACGTGTTTACACTCCTGGAAGGAATGACGTAGTTTTTTGTTTTGTTTGTAGTTCTGGCTGGGCTGGAATTCCCACGTAGAGCAGGCTGGCTTTGAACTCAGGGATTTGTCTGCCCCTGCCTTCTTTCTGAATTCTGGGATTAAAGGTGTAGCACCTTTTACACAAGTGACTTTTTAAAAAATCACAAATACCCTGAAATACAGTTTACAAACGGTTAAATTCTGGTTTAATGATAGAATCTCAGATCTGATTAAGAATCTAACAAAGCTCCTTAGTCCCTCCCCAACCCACTTTATACATGAGGAAAATCAAGGCCAGATAGATGAAACAATACTACTTTTTGGTGGTGGTAGCAAGATTTTGTTTTACCTTGTAGATTTTTTTAAAACTACATTTAACACAGTGATTTCACTTTGTGAAAATCATACCTGGAAAGTAGTGCGATTACATGTAGCTGTTTTAGTTATGCATACCTTTCCAGAAAGAAGCAAAATGCTAAAATTTCATTAACAATAAAGGTATTTTAATACCCTAAGCTCAATAATTCACTGAAAGAGCATTTCTTTTGTTGCCCTTACTTGTCCATCTCAGACATTCCTAGTGTATGAAAGGGCCTATCTCTTCTCAGGAGTATATAACCCAAAGGCTCTCTACAAAATCCATCTTTTTTTTTTTCCTTCTGGTTCCTTCCTGAGCTTAGTTAGCTCTCCAATCTGGAAGAACAGTACTTGCAGAGCTGGAGTGGGGGTGGGAGTGTCACATGATATAACGCACTTTTAGCACCCACTGCTAGCACCCACTCTGTGCATTTGCTCTGATTTGGGCATATTTCCTTCCTCTCCTAAGCAGATAGCAGCTCACCTTGGTTAATGCCACTAAACCGTAGACCACTCCGCTGCTAATAAACCAGGAAGAAACCCGGCCGTGCTAGGACTAGAAATGTCCATCCCTGCCCCCAACCCCCTTAAGACAGTGACTAGGCCAGAATTCTCCTGGCTGATAAATGAGAGGAGCTGAGGAGCCGCTGTGATGACGGTTCCAAGAATCTGATTTGTGAGAAGGCGAATCTCCAGGAGCACCATGGAGATGCTTTTGGAAAGCGGGCCAGCCTACCTGCCGGAAGGAGGACGAGAGAAAGGGGGCAAGGCAGAGAGAAACGCTTAAGCGAGATGGCCTGGAGGTGCCCAAAAAGGGACATTTGAAAAGGAAACGGAGGCCGCATCTCGGGGAAACCTCGGAGGTAAGTGACATTTAAAAGGGTTGCGCATCCAGGCAAAAGCGCGACAGAGACAAAGGTGGAATGTCCAAACTGGGAAGAATAAGGCTGGTTAACTGTGGGTGGTACCCAGACGCCCAAGGGTGTCGCGGGGCTGGAGAGGACCGGATGGTGGGGGTCAAGCGGGGCATCCACGCGGAAGACAGTGGGGGGTCGGGAACTGGCCGAAGGAGCGGCTGTCCTGCATTTGCCCCGGGGAAGGTCAGAGACCCCCTACCGGAGAACCACTGCAGGAACCTAGAGGGGCCACGGTTGCCATGGCGCCGGGTGGGGAGGGGGTGACTTGCGCCCCGCCCCAAGCCCCGCGGGGCCGCGAGCTCCAGATGGTCCCCGGCCTCCCGCGGGAGCCGGCGGCCTGCGGCAGGGGGAGGCTATTGTCCTCCTTCCGCGGCGCCGCAGTCCCGCCGCTCGCGCCCGCGCGCAGCCGCCACGCGCCCCGCGGCCGCCGGCCCCGCGCGCCCCCCGATCTA